AAAATTTTATATACCATATAAAATTAGAAAATAATAACATGTTATTCAAAGACAATCAAGGAACAAAACCATGGTTCTTCGCCTTTAAGGAATATTATATCACATTTTAAAAATCACATTTAGAATACCTCGTTTTATTTTGCCTTGAGGTACTGAGTCTTTTTCTGTGGCCTTTAGTGCAGTTAAAACCATCTAAGTTAGTTGTGGCATCTTCAAGAAAGTAAGACAGTAATCGTGGTTGAAATAACCAAATGAACTGTACTATTATATCAGATCATATGAACAGCTTGTAACAAATATGCTAGAAAATAAAGATGAGGAGGAAAGCAGAGTGAAAGGATACATTTAGCATCAGACCATGCAGTAGTTGAAATGGGCTCAAACATCAACTGAATGGTGAACTCTGAGTTTAACAGGTGACATTTGGCACCCAACAATTGAGCCTCTAGCCCAAAGCTGATGCCCTGAAACAGTGTGAGCAGGAACCCCTCAGTCCTGAAGCACACCACTCAAGTGAAAACACTATACACCTCAGTCTTCTCATCTAAGAAATGAAGATTCTCCCAAATCAACTGCAATTCAGAGTCAGTAAACTTCCAAGAAGCACTTTAAATGCATGGGAAGCATACGTGTTTTAAAATCAACTTAAAAAATCAAATGCTGTGCTTGGTCTAGTTTCCCGGTGGGGCATCTGACTCTATTTTTTTATACCAAAAAAATTAGTGTAACATATTGCTCTTAATTTTACATAGTGTTTTAAGTACTTATACCAAATGCTAATTATGATAATAATAATAAAAAATATCTAGGTGTCAAATATTATTGCAACTTAGAATTTGGCTCTGATGTTCACAATACAAACTAGGACACACTATCTTTATTTTACTAAAGGGCACTGAAAATATTACTTCTGATGATTTTCCCATTAGGCTCGTGGTTGGAAAGTCCAGGTTGTGCATGATATACTGTGACATGCCTTCTCTATCTCTACAAAGAAGGAAAGGGGGAAAGGGCCAAAAATTTTCAAAGATCCTTTAAATACGAAACTGTAACCTACATCAAAGATTGGTTGGACTTGAAGTTGAAGTAAATAGGAAGAATCGCTCTCTTACTACTTGAGATCATGTTACAGTGATATCTGATTCCTAAATCAAACCCGCACGTATCTGGTTTCTTGTTCCTGTTATGGTACAGGCAATCCTGGGATGTCCCTACTGTGACTGGAAGGGACATCTGTTTTCCCAGCCCACTGGCTCCCAGCGCAGGCTCATCACGATACGGCCCTGTAAATAGCAAGACTGTGGGAAGGGCCTGACAGGGAGACCCAGCTCTATAAATGCCACAGAGCTTCAGGAAGGGGGACACTGAGCCTCAGCAGCTGGGAATAAGCCTTAGCCTGCTCTCTTGTGGTTTCACCAAAACAGGGCCGAACATCACAGCCGGGAGAGAGATTTTCAGCAAGGAAAGTTTTAAAAAGTTTTCCAAAATAAGATGAAGAAAAAGAGGAGGAAGAGAAAGGGGGAAGGTAGAGGAAGAGGAGGAGAAGACAGAAGATAAGTTCAGGGAAAGATGGTAAACAAATCACTTCCATGACTGTGAATCTTAATTTTATAGCCTTGGGAAGAAAAAAGATTGCTTTCTTTAAGGAGCCCTGGCTGAAGCGTTAACTGCACACAGAGGCCATTCTACCACAGAGGGCAGGCTACACTAGGGGTTTAACCCTGAGTGGAGTAAGAGTCTAGCCCACAGTGACCCCCTGGGGCACAGACTCTGAGCAGAAACTCTCCAGTCCTGCTGAACTGAAAACCGTTATTGATGTCAGTTCCTGTTTCCCTCCTGCTGAATGGGATCCAAGTGGCCTCTCCTGCCCTCCCCCTCTTCCTTTCCTCCCAGCCATGCTCCCTTCCTACACTTGCCTGTGGACGATAAACACGCTAGACCACCATTTGAGTTTAGTTACTTATACTCACGTCCATGCCCTCATGTTGTTTGATAATATTGGTTACTCACTGGACCTAGATTGTAGAAACTAGGCATAAGCAAAATGATTCAAGAAGGTTCACCACTTCTTTTTCCCTCCACTCACTTTCCTAAGGGACTTGTGATTACTGGACTCAGAAACCCCTTGCTCTGAAAGGAGATAAATCTGGAATTATGGTACCTTCTTCTCTGCTGTCCATTCCAGTCAGGAACCAGGACCCTTGCTGCCCTATGTTTCTTTCCCAGAACGATCAAACCTCCAAATGGAAAGTGTAAGTAGGGGAGGGTGGTGGTTGTAGCTCAGGACACGTCTGGGGTTGGGGGAGTGGGCTGAGTTGAGGGAGAGGAGGTGGAAGTATGTGCGTGGGGGTGCGTGGACTCGGAGGATACCTTTCATCTGGTACTTCTTTCTCTCCAGGAGTTGTTTTGCCAGAGAAGCCACTCAAGTTTGAGTAAATATGAAACCAGCCACTTGACTTTGGTGATAACACTTTGTAGCCTCTGAGGCAGCAGGCCTGCTCCCCTCTGGCCCTTAGAACTCGCTTCATCATGAGTCAACAGTACTTAAATAGAATCAGCAGGCGGGAGCTGGCCGCACCCGGAGGGTGTCACCCTTCTGCCCATGAGGGCTGTACCCACTCAAGCAAAACAACTGCTCTAAGCGTTTGCGGGGGAGGGGGGACAAACAAAAAAGCCCACTACTACATTCTAGGTTCTCTATGCACTTGACAACATACTGATTTCATCAACTGCGAGAGCTTAATGTTTACTCAGACTTTCTGAGCCCTGAGACCACTGCTTGGTGGATTAAAAAGAAAGGGTCCTGATTCACTCCGGGTGTGTGTGTGACACACACGTGGACTCTGAGACATATGCTTTAGGTTCAGAGCGGCTTTGGGCGCTGTGCCAGTTCCCACCTCGCTTATCTCGTCCCTTGTGGTGCAGAACTCCACGCCGCGGGCCAGGGCCCGTTCACAGTCCTCAGCCCAGGCTCGCCACCGCAGACCGTCCTGCTCCAGGAGGTCTAGCTGCTGCTGCAGGTTCTTGGCAGAAACATTAGAGCAGTTCTAAAAATGAAAGAGACGTGGTATCAATGAAGGGAACGGCAAACAGCAAGGAAACTAATGTGTTATTCACCTGCATTGTGAAACTCACAAAGGACATTAAAAAAAATGGGCTCCGGATTTACTTATCATAAGCATCTCTGCATACGATTTCAGACAGAAACCAGACACCCAACACCTAATCCTGGGAAAGACAAACCCTCACATTTCCAGTCTTAAAATTTCAGTTTTAAAGATTTGCTCATCACATCGAACTCCCCAGAGACATCATTCATTATAAGTTATAATTTTTACTTCAAAAGGCATAAAATATGCATTAGAAACATTTGGCTTCTGCACTATAATTTTCCTGTCAAGTTGAGCTTAACCTCAGCTTCATTATGCAAGTGCTCCAATCTCTTCTTAGCACAGAGGGTTGCCAAGGCCAAGGCCAAGGCCAGACTTGGAGAACAATTTACATTATTCGTGCAAAATGAGACGTCTTACTTGTTTTCTTCCTTTTTAAAATAAATTTACTAATAAAAGTAAACTTTTTAAAAAGAAAATTTCTTCTTAGTAAAAACAGATTCTATTAACGGCGACAGATATTTTGTATTTCTGTCTTTCAGTTAAAAAAATACTTTAGATATACTGCATACCATATAATTTAGTGGACATCTTAAATGAACTTTGAAATAAAACTGGCCATTATGATTTTTATTAATATTATACATATTGGGTAGAATTAACATAACTTTTTCTTCTCTCAAATTAAGAACTTGGAAATGGATTTTTTTAAAAAAATTAGAGCCCAATGTGTTATTTATGAAAATTCACTCTGAAATTATTTCCATCTCTTTTAGGCTCCTTGGTAAAGTCACTCCAGTGGATTCAAGCAGGCCCAACGACTAGTTTCCAGAGCCCTGGGTACAGCCAGGATGCTTGGGCTCCACCACTCTGGGCTTTTATGGGTAAAGAAGCTTCTCTAAGACAAATCCTTCATTTATAAAATGAAGGTCCTGGGCCCGATGATGTCTAGGATTCCCTTCAGGTCTGACATGCTAAAGCAGCATCGTCCAATGGAAATACAACGTGAACCACATAAATAATTTAAAATTTTCTAGCAGTCATACTAAAAAGTAAAAAAGAAACGAAAGAAATTAATTTTCATAATATAGTTTATTTAATACAATTTGTCCAACTACATCATTTTAACATGTAACCAAATATTAAAAATACTAAAATGACTTTTTTGTACTAAGTCTTTGAAATCAAGTGTGTATTTCACACTTAGAGCATATCTCAACTATTGCTAAATTTCTATCAGAAACACTTGATCTATATTTAAATCTCACAGAGTTTATAGTTTAAAAAGTAGAGTCACATTCCCAAATTGTTCCCAATATACTTAAAAGTTTGACAATAACTATTTTGGGTATCGGTTTTAAATTAAAATTAATTAAAATTAAATAAAATAAAAAATTTAGTTCCTTAGTTGCATTAGGCATATTTCAAATATGAAAAATCAACTGCCATTATAGAATGCACAGCTCTGTAATTTTTAAAATTAGCATGAAATAGATGTATTAAACAAGACTTTTTAAATCAGATTTCTCTCCTTAAAATGTTTTTCTTTGAATGTGGTAGAAACCCACCACAAATAAGTATCCCAATGGTTTAATGTATTTTTTTTAATTTAACATATACTGGGCAGTCTGCCTGGTTTCTTCCACACTACAACTCAACTCCCAGCTATAATTAGGTACAAATGATGGTGTTCTAGGTAGCTTACGGGCCGCTGAACGGATGAGATGACATCCACCCCCAAGGAAAGGGCCAGCTTATAGAGATGGTCTGCGTGTGCCTGCTTTTCCCGAGAGCGACTGAGGAGAAGCTGGGCAGTGTAAGCATCATCCATTTCCTCTGGCTCCTCCAGAAACTCCAGTTCTCTTGATCTGAAGAGTCGTCCCAGCTGGAATTTAGGGCATTAACACTTAACATGGGGTTCATATTTTTATGAAGGCAGATTTTTTTTATTGAAGTACAAATGATGTATAATATTGTATGTTATAGGTGAATATAGTGATTCACAATTTTTAAAGTTTATACTCCATTTATAGTTATTATAAAATATTGGCTATATTCCCTGTGTTGTACAATATGTCTTTGTAGCTTATTTTATACCTAATAGTTTGTACCTCTTAATCCCCTACCCCTATACTGCTTTCACCCCTGCTCCCCAACTGGTAACCACTAGTTCGTTCTCTGTACCTATGAGTCTGTTTCTTTTTCGTTATATTCACTAGTTTGTTGTATTTTTTAGATTCCACATGTAAGTGATATCATACAGTACTTGTCTTTCTCAAAGACAGAGCTTTTTTAAGAATGCTTATTTTCCATAACATTTAACTACCTGGTCAACTGCTGACAAGCCCATCTAAAATTATTAGTATTATAGACAAATAAGTGTTAACAATGCTGCAAATCAGTAGGGTAAAATTGAAAGGCTAACACTGTCAGTTCTATTAAAGAAGAAAACACTCTCTTTGCTCATAACCTAAAACCTTAGCAAGATGTCAGCCTGTTATCTGAGTAAAGTCAGAGGCTGTTTTCAAGAGATTTCAATACGTCTCCATTTGCTATTATAGAGGCTAATCACTATGAAGTTTTACTGAGCTCTCTATGATATCTGGTACTTGAGATATAAAAAACAATTTTTTTGTTTTCTTCCCTCATAGAGCTTACACTTGATTTAGGGGAACAAAAGTAATTAAGAATCAAGGAGCTAAAAATGACAGATGTATGGAATAAACAATAAGATTTGAGGAATTTAGAAGAGACAAAAATCACTCCAAGTGAGGTAGTGCTGTTAGGCGGAGGGTTTAGAAGGTAGAGAGTGGAGAGGGGGACCTGTTAGGGAGTGGCAGCTTGAGAGTCAAGGCTTGGAATTAGGAATGTGGGCGCTGTCTCTGACCAGCAGAGAAGAGCTCGGTTTGGCTGGAACAAAGAGGAGGATGCAGCACAGTGAGGGAAAAATCAGGGCCAAACTGTGGAAGGCTTCTAATATCAGAATGAGCAACTTGGCTTTTACTTATTACACAGTAATTTATTTTAAATTTCATATTTTAAAACAGAGTCTTGACATTCTTGGTAACTCTTACCTCTTCTCTGACTTGGTGGAACTGGACTACCTTATACAGGATATCCTCGTAATCTCGGATTCTCTCTCTCTGGCTTTGATGGAGGTGAATGAGGTCCTTTAGTTGCTGAGACTTCTCTTTCACAGGGGCTCCTCTGCCACTTAGCTCTTCTGATTCTTTTATAATGTACTGAACCTCATCACTGAGTTGCTAAAAAGTTGAAAGCAATAAAAGAAATAGAGCTTTTAGAGAGCTTTTTACTTTACACGGAGATCTCAATAAAAAACTCTTTTACTTGTTAACAAATAATTATTGTGAGCCTACCCTCATCCCTACAGATCCAGGCACTGTGCTTGAGGCTGGGGACTTATTGCTCCATCCCCATCTACTCAGAAATTTTTTTTTAATTATGAGCAATGCAAAAAAAAGTGTTTCAAACTTTGGTGATGAAATGGAAAGTCATGTATTTCTATGGCACACCAAGCATTCTAGGTGTTAAATAAATGTTAAGCAAATGTATTTTAGATACTCTGTGAAACCATGGTCATCTCTGATATCTAGTACAACTAGAATCAGGAGGCATGATAAGAAAACCAAAAGAAGGTAAGTATAAAAATATATTGGGGGCAATTATTTGTCCTCTGTGATAAAAGGATGACCAGAATGAACCACCAGCTGAGCAACACAGCAGCTATGCTGCTTTAAAAGCAGTCATTTCAGAATCCACAAATAGCCACCACTTGCAGGGAGGGATAAATTAAACCACCTCCCTTTTCTCCAGCACTGCTCAGATATCCCATATAGGAATCCAGATCCTGGTGGACAGCTCAAAGAGGAAGCCACTACAATTTCAGGGTTGGATCAAAGATACAAGTAATGGAAATGACTGAGGCTAAGGAGACAACTTGCAGAAGAGTGACCTAAAAAGGGTCTTCAAGTTCAAAGGGAAGTCAAGCATATGGGCATCAAGTATATGCACATCACAGTGACAGAGCTAAAGAAGCTTGGCAGTGGTCCCTGACTGAGAGGAATCTACACACACACACTCTTGGTCATGTGTAGGGCTGTGTGCATGTGTGCACACATGAAATGCAGACATGACAAATACAGGGTTTATAACAGAGAACCTAAGAGGTGGGCTAGTTGAATTTTCTAAGAGTTTGGAGGAAAGAGTTCACTCTGGGCCACAATGATGTGTGTGCTTTGTGTATGTGTGTGCAGGGTAGTTATGTATTACATCAGTTTTGTCTTAAAGGAACTTAAATTAAATATTCCCTAAAGGAATCTTTAATCTTCTGGTTCTGGGATTCTTTAAAGCCAACACTTACAAAGTAGTGACAAACAGAAACACTGATATCTTAACTTCGCAGCAAAGAACAAGAATCCAGGCAGGAGGATAACATGAGTGGCAAACTTTTTTAGCAGTGTGTCAAGCTCAGGAGTGGCAGGAGGTAGAGGTGTGGAATGCATCAGCAGTCCAGGCCTGGGAACATGACTCATGGTTTTCTCTCTCACACCCTGAGGGCTCTCTAAAAGGGAGAATGGGAGAGCACAGCAGAATTCCTGGGATGGTGGTAGGAGCCTGGGGTGCCAGTGGGTGGGGACAGTGACATCACATGATAATTACAGGGACAGAGAACAGCAGAACTTGTGTGTCAGAGGTTGAGTATCCTTGCTCTGTGGTATCTGAATCTAAAACATGTCTGTACCCCTTAGGAAAATAATTAGAGTAAATATATATGAGAAATACATTAATAAGAAAATAATTTAATGTAAATTAAATAATCTAAGATAAGAATATATTGAGGTCATTTTGTAGCCTGAATGTTTATGTATTATCAAATACAGAAAACTGCAGTAAAACAGGAAAATAATGTGTTTTTACAGTGGATTTCTGGACAAGCTATGCCTTTGTTTTTTTTAAAAAAAGTAATTCATCAGACTATTAAAATTAATTAGGTGAGCTTCAACTGAACTGTTTTTAGTTCTTTTTCTATTCACCCAAGGCCATCAATTTGTCTCTTCACCTGGAACAGAGGCTTCATTTCATTCCATTTTTTCCGTAGACCTAAAATGGTCTGGAGACTCCCTCCAAGGTCAAGTGCAGACACAGGCAGAAGTGCTTCCTGAAGAAGTTTTAAGTTGTGAGTAGTCTGAAATAAACATTAGATAGTTAGATGACCATGGTGTGTCATCACAC